CGTTTGGTGAGATATCAGGCTCCTATACTAACCTCTGAAGTTTCTTTTTTTGGACTTTCTGCTTCCCCCCCCCCTTGTCTTCCAGGTCCTCCCTCTGGAACAGGAGACACATTGCCACAGTTCTTTAAAAGGAGGTCCCTCAGCAACATAGCTAGTCATTTGTGTTTCCTCCGATTGAAGGAGACATGTTGCCTGAGGAACCATCCTTTTTATTTTTTAGTTTTTTAACCTTTCCAGGAAGGGCTCCATCTCTCAGGGGTTATACTGAAGAGGGAGTTGTGCCTGCAAGGAGACTGGATCTCAAGCAGCTTTCTAGTGGAAAATTTCACTACTGTACCCTCACCTGAGTCATTTTTGGGCCACGGGTACAGTCCAGCACTACAGGAGCAAACCCGCTCTCGCCTCCTTCCAGTGCCTGGAGAGGGTCAGCGATGAGATGGTGGTAGCTTCCTCAGCAGCTGAAGGCAGGAAGGGAGGTGATTACAGGACCTCCCACCCTTCCAGGCTGGATGCCACAAAGTGATGTCATCCACGTGGGCTGAGACTTCCAGGTCTCGGGGCGCAAGGAGGAAGGGGAGGGCCAGGCTGGGCCATATCATCTCCGCCAGTGTCCAGTATTCATGGACTATCAGTGGGATCTGGAGCAGAGGGGGACCATGAAGGCTTCCTCGCAGGACACTCCGGGGGATCTGGGCACCAGCAGCACACAAGTAGGCTGCAGAGCATGCTGTCACTGGGTTAATTGGTGGTTATTTTCTTCTACAGAGCAAAGAAACTCCAAGGGAGGACAAACCCTCATGAAAGAAATGCTCTAATTGTGGCACAAAGCTTTATTCTAGTCATACCAAATCCTTGGACTGTGAGTGTATTTCTAATCTGCTAAAAGCTGAATCAGATTCACCCCTGGCAAAATTCCTTAATTCTTTTAAAGAGGAGGCTTCAACCACTATTAAGGCATTCCACAAGCTCATTGCAGACGCTAGCACACCAGCCACTACTGCCTCTGAACATGTACCATTATCTCCTGGCCCGAGAGCCTAGGGTGCCAGAGAACAGAGCCCTACTTTAGTCGATCCACATTCCTCTGACTCAGATTCTGAAAAGGAAGAGGGCCAGGGTGAAACTAGCAAAGCTGCAAAATTTAAGTTATCCCTAGAGGAGGTTGAGTTTCTGCTGGGCATTACTTATGACACTCTAGAGATCCAAAAAGAAGAAACGCAGCTGTCATGGCATGATATGATGTATTAGGGTCTGGGAAATAAAAAAGCAAATATTTTTCCTGTTCATCAGGTTATGTCAGAATTAATCCGGAAGGAATGGTCTGAACCAAACAAGAAGTCCTTCTTTTCAAACAGCTTAAAGAGAAGATTTCCCTTTGATGAGAGCCCTGATTCTATCTGGGATAAGTGCCCTAAGTTAGATACACCCTTGTCAGAAGTATCCAAACAGTCTGATTTGGCCATCTTAATGATACCATGGACAGAAGAGCATTATTATATTAAAAAAGGCTTGGGACATGTCCATGGCTAATTTAAGACCCGCCTTGGCAACAACATGTGTCGCGAGGAATTTTGTGTTTTTGCTCTCACAGCTGCATGAACATATGTGGGCAGGTACTCCAAGAGAAGAGCTTTTGAAGTCCTTTCCAATACCGTTTAAGGCTATGGGATTCATAACAGACACTTCAGCAGAGTCAGTTAAGCTGTTTGCCAGTGGCCGACAGAAGATCTATATGGTTAAAGAATTGGGCAGGAGACACAGCTTCAAAACTGTGTTTATGTAGTATCCCTTTCAAACTGCTTGTTGGGCCAAACTTAGAGGCTACTTTTGAAATAACAGCAGATAGGAAGAAAACTTTCCTGGTAAAAAGCAAAGCTTTTCCTAAAATGTTTTTAGTCCCCAAAGAGAAATATTGAAAGGAGACAAAGATTCCAGGCCTAAGAAACACTGGATGGGTCATAAGGGAAAAGAGAAAGAGGTATTCTCTTTAACCCTCACAGTCAAAATCCAAAATCTCAATGATGCCAAATATTCAGTGGGAGGAAGGTTGGGAAGGTTTCTCCCATAGTGGGAAAAAGTTCCAACAAAGTTGTTCTAAACATTATAAAAGAAGGTTATGCCCTGGAATTTCACAGGAGCCCTCCAACAAGATATCTAGTCACAAAACTTCCAAGGGAACCAGTGAAAACTTATGCAGTCCCCTACTCATAGGAAGGCTTGTGGTTCAAAACGTGCTGATCCATTCAGGAACAAGGGGAAGGGTTCTACTCGCATGTTTTTGTAATAAAGAAATCATCAGGGAAGTACTGGTTAATCCTAATCCTCTGGCCCCTGGATGCATCCATATGTTACAAAAAGTTTTGAATGGAATATATTTATTCAGTAAGGAACCTTCTGCAGAAAGATTTCTTTATGTCCACGATGGACTTGAAGGATGCCTATCTGCATGTTCCTATAAGGGAGAGTTCTCAGAAGTATCTTCGTCTGGCAATTCCTATTGAATTGAAAATATATCATTTTCAGAGCAGGGATCCAGGGATCAGAAGATAATTCTTCCAGAAGAGCAGATCAAGTGATTAGATCAGAAAATGACTTGTCTAAAGTCGTCCAATCACATTTGCACTGTGAGGGAGGTGATATTGGTACTAGGTCTGCTGGTGGCCTCTATTCCTGCAGTACAGTGGGCCAGATTTAAACCAAAAAGGTCTACAGAGGTTTCTACTAAGATACTTAAGGAACAGTGGCTTACATGAAGCAGTGACCATCACCCCCAGGGTGAAGCATTCCCTGTGGTGGTGGAGGAGTAAACTTGCAGGAAGAAGTTAAGTGGATCCTACCCATTTCTCGCATTCTAACTACAGATGCCAGTGGTTGGGGCTGGGGAGTCCATCTAGATGAACAGTGGTGCCAAGGCAGATGGTCTCTCAAGGAGAAGACGTCTTTTTCCAACTGGAAGGAGCTGATAGCGATAGCCAGAGTATTGTTAGCCTTTCAAAATCAAGTCAGAGGTCATCAACTCCAGATTTTCTCCAACAATGTAACGACAGTAGCATTTATCAACAGACAGGGCAGAACCGGAAGCCACCGGCTGATGCTGATTGCCCAGATAATTTTTCAGTGAGCAGAACAGAATCTCTGTTCTATCTCTGCGCTGCACCTGAAGGGAGAACAGAATGACTTAACAGATTTTCTAAGCCATCAACAGGTCTCAAACCAGGAATGGTCCTTACATCCGGATGTGTTCAGAGAGAGTGTTTCCTTTTGGGGAGACCCAGAGGTTGATCAGGAGGAATACAAAAAGGTATAAATGTTTTTCTCTCTGTATCCAAGAGATCAACCATTGGCAATGAATGCTCTACAAAGCCACCGGGTTTTCAGCCTCTGTTATGCCTTTCCACCCCTTCACCTCATTCCAAGAGTCCTGTCCAAATTTCTACTAGAGAACACACGGATGATCCTGGTAGCGCCATATGGGTCTCAACATTACTCACACTGACCGAACAGCCCCATCTGATGCTTCCTCTTAGATGGGATTGTCTATGCCAGGACCCCTTGTCCATCCACAAGCGGCCACTCTAAATTTAACAGCTAGGCTTCTGAGGAAGAGATTTTGAGGGCCAGAGCTCTATTTGACAGAGTCATCCACACCTTACTTCAGAGTCATAAGCCAATAACTAGAGCAATTTATGTCAAAGTTTAGAAAAAGTTTAATATGTGGCTCATGAACGGAAATTGAACTAGTATGGATTCGCCCACTATCCTTGAATTTCTACAGGATGGAGTCGAGAAGGGATTGGCCCTTAGTACTATTAAAGTACAGATTGCAGCACTGAGTGTGTATCTGCAGAAAACTCTTCAGGATGACTTGCTTGTCTCTAGATTTTGTAAGGCACTAGTCAGATGCAGGTTGATTCAGGGAGTTAGAGTCTCGGCTTGGGACCTTTCTGTTGTCCCGGCTTGGGCCTTCCTTGGAGCACCCTTTGAACCAATCTTGGAAACTTCTGTAAGAATGATCACTCTTAAAACAGTACTGTTGGTTGCAGTTACATCTGCTCGCAGAATCAGTGTGATCTAGATGCTTTCTACCAGAGATCCTTTTTTTTTTTAAAATTTTAGAAGACAGAGTCATTCTAAGAACAGACCCAGGCTTCATCCCTAAAGTAGTGTCAAATTTTCATAGGTTCCAGGACATTATTTTACCCACTTTTTACCAGAATGCTTCTAACAGTAAAGAGGAAGAGATTCACCGGTTGGATATTAAAAGGTGTCTTTTGGCCTACCTTGAGGCCACTAGGGAGGTTAGGACCCCGGGGGGCACTGTTCATTTTGTTCTCTGGAAAGCATAAGGGTGACCAGGCCTCTAGGGCCACTTTAGCCTGGTGGATCAAATTGGCCATTATTGAGTGTTATCAAGCCTCAGACAAGGAGTCCCCAAAAGTCTAAGAGTCCACTCTACTAGAGCTCTTTCTGCTACCTGGACAGAGAAAGTTGGTGCCAACCCAGAGCAGATATGCAAGGCTGCTACATGGTCAAGTTTTTCCACCTTCTTGAGGCATGACCATCTATACCTGTTAACTAGTCAAAATCAGGTGTTTGGGAGGAAAGTCCTCCAAGCCATGGTCCCCCCTAATCTGGTGAGTACTTGTTTATCCTCTAAAGGGCTGTCCTGGAAGATGGCTGGGGTAAAACTGGTAACTCTATTTCCAGTAGTCCTCTAGGACAGCACATTTCTGTCCTGTTTTTATTTTACAAATTTGTTTTAATTGGTTGTGGTTATAATTTTCAATTTCGTCCTTCAGTTTTTGGGTTTACTGGCCATGCTCCTGAGGGACCTCCTTTTAAAGAACTGTGGCAATGTGTTTCCTGTTCCAGTGGGAGGAGCTCCATCTCTCAAGGACTGTCCTGAAAGACTACTGGAAATAGAGTTACCGGTAAGTCTAACTCTGGTTTTTCAACCTATGTAAAGTCTGGAACATTCATTGGTTGTGTTTGTGAGATGTCTAGCTTCTTAGAATTACATCAAAATATTTTCTGCCTGCTGTTTGTGTAGTTTTCCCTATTAAAATTATACATCTACATACCCTTCCAGAGATTCTGTCTATTCCTCCTTGCAGTACTCGTGTATGTTCCTCAGCTTCTTTCAACTTTCTGATCATGTGATCCGGAGCCCCTGTAGTCAAGTGCTGTAGTGGTTGATTCCAAGATCGTAGTAACTGGTTTACAAGGCTTAGCAAGTCATCGTGCTGTGGTACAAAAGCAAGAAATCTTTTAGATAAACAAAAATGATGTGTTTACAAATATCTAAAAAAATACCGTTACTTATGTAACAGGCTGTGACTAGACGTGCCCTTTTGGGCCAATATCCACATGATACTGGATGCAAAAGACCTCAAACCACCTGTGCTATTAGATCAATAATCCACCCTGATTGCACACCTGGGTGTGCAATTTATTAAACAGGCAGCTAAAGCTCGACTGAGCCTTGAACATTGCAGAAAATGTATACTGTAAAATGCTACACTTGCACCTCTTAATGACCACTAATTTGTAATGACCCTTATCTATTATTGTAGACAGTGGGGTGGATTTACAGAAGGCAAACAGACTGTGCACTTTACAAGTGTAGTTGCACTCAATTCCCCAGATTTTAGTGAATCTGGTACTAACAAATAAAAAACCTTGTGCAATAAGCACTCTGAATGGATATAAATGTTTACATGAAGATCAAAACTTTAAAAACTGGTTGCTGCTGTGCTCAAATATGATCTAACCACACATACAAAAAAAATCAATGTTACTGCAAAGGGACAGCACTACACATATAGTGAGAATGAGTCCATATATTAAAAAAAAAACACATAAATTACAGTCCTGATACAAATGTCAATCCGCTCTAAAATCTTCGATGTTGCAATCAGCCCACTTCAGGTGTATCAATTAAGGTATATACATTTTGGACATTCTGGGAATATATAATTTCTAAGGATGTGCCAGTGTTTAAAACATTGGCACATCCTGAGAAATGATATATATCATTCACATCTAATATAGAAAGAGAGTGAGGAATACATGCCTGCATTGGAGGAGGTATACCAAGCACATTAGTGGTTTCACCAGGTGCCAAATACATACCCAATACTGTGGAAACGATAATGCCCACATCTGCGGTGCACCAGGACAGTGCACCATGTTTCTAAGTGTGATTTTAATAAATCATATTTTATGCAGTACACACTATTTCAGTTTATATCTTTATATACATATACATCGGTGGGTCCTGTGAGAGGAGAGAGAAGAGCCACCTACCAGAAGGAGAGATCCCCATAATCCAGGGATAAAAGGGTTAAAGGCATTCTTAGACTGAAAGAGTAGTAGTTCTAAACTACCAGGTGAGAGGCTGAAAGTGGTGGTGATTCACGAGGTGATGATACTATATTGAGCTTTAACTGATACACCTGAAGTGGACTGATTGTAACATCGAGGATTTTAGAGTGGATTGACATCAGGACTGAAATTTATGTGTGATGTTTTTTATATATGGACTCATTCTCATTATATGTGTAGTGTTGTCCCTTTGCAGTAACATTGATTTAGTGAATCTGGTAAAGCACTGCTGATTTTTACCATCCAGTCATGTGCTAGCAAAAATGCTGTTTTTTTTAAATTTTCCTTGCACCTGATTGAGTATTCTTTACAAAGTGAAGCTTCACCACAATAAATAGGCTCTGGGGAAAATGCGAATAGCACAGTCTATTTGCCTTTAGTAAACCCACCCCAATGTGCAGTGTATGGGTCAAGAGCAACAAATATAGTTAATGCTGGAGCATGCAAATTGCACAAAAATGTAAACTTAAATGATAAATTCACTTTTTTGAAAAAAATTATAAATGCACACATTTTTGCAGAATTAAAATATGCATTTATTATTTTTTCCCAAAGGGGCTTGCAGAGCATTGCACCCCATGATCTACTGATCTACAGTGTCATGCTCCTGCAGACAAGCTCATCAGCTTTCAGCCCGTACCTCTGTACAGGCTGTCAGTTTGAAAGCTGTAAGTCTTGTCTACAAACTATGAGGATGCTCATCTGTGCCCTTGCACTTCATTGACAACTACAAGCCATCAGCCGTGGTGGAAGACGTGATTTGTAGTTCTCGCATTCACAGATTTCTGTGAATGAATAATGTGGCTGTGTGGACGAAGCCCTGCACATCTGCTGCATTTCTGAAAAGTGACTGCGGGTGTGGTGAGAGGAACCCACCCTCATTTTCACAAGAAATGGGGGGACTGCTGGAGCATGTTACATGTTACACCCTAAATATGGTGGGGAGGGGTTGTGGCGTGGGGATCCATCCCTGCTGGGAGACCACAGTGATTATTGCTGGCAGTAATGGCATGAAAAATCCAACAGGCTGGTTGTACCCAAGTCATACCACTAGTGGTGCACCAAAATGAAAATTCTGGTGCCGAAATCGAAAACGAAAATTCAAAATGCACTGGGCCGAAAATCGAAACTGAAATGCGCAGTTTTTAAAAATTAATATATATTTTTTGGGAAAAAAATACACTTTGATTAAAAAAACCAAAAAAAAACTATATATACCCCAATTTGTTTTGTAAAATATGAAAGAAGATGTTATGGCGAGTAAATAGATACCCAACATGTCGCGCTTTAAAATTGGGCACGCTCGTGGAATGGCATAAAACTGCGGTACTTAAAAATCTCCATGAGTGATGCCTTAAAAATTTCTACAGGTTAGCATTGTAAAGTTACAGAGGAGATCTAGAGCTAGAATTATTGTTCTTGCTCTAACGTTCATGGTGATACCTCACGTTTGTGGTTTGAATACTATTTACATATGTGGGCATGGCATACATATGTGTTTACCACTGCGTGTGAGCACAGGAGGACGGGGGCACTTTAAACTTTTTTTAAAAAATGTATTTAATTTTTTTTTTCTTTTTCACTATCCCTTTAAAAAAAATTTCAATCACTTTTATTCTTATCCCAAGAAATGCATGCATCCCTTGTGATAGAAATAATTAGTGAAAGGTCCTCTTTATGGAGAGATATGGGTCAATAGGACCCCACATCTCTCCTCTGCAATGTAAAGCATTGGATCAAAAGAAAACAAAATGCATTCATCTAGTGCTTTGGGAAAAAAATTGTCCAGAACCGGAAGTGACATCGCTCCGGTCCTCCAAGGGCATAGAGATGAGTGGAGGCCATCTTTCCTATACTAATCTCTATGCCCACTGTCGGGATTATTCAATGGTAAGGCTGAGAACTACCGAGCGGCGGCTGGTGACAGCGGGTGGGCGGCGGCAAGGGGTGGGGTTTTTTTTGGCACCTGTATGGGCTGAAAGGGGTGTTTTTGGCCTAAACGTTTTGGACACCAAAAGTTTGGTGCATCCCTATGTACAACAATTGAATTGGGTACAATCAGCCTGCCCATAGATGGTTCAAATCATGGACAGTCCCTGCTGAAGCAGCTGAGATTCGGACCATCTGAAGCTGGCATTAGCTTTAAAGGCTTTAGCGGATTCTCCATTACTTATTATTATTGATTCTAAACTGGAGTTTTTATATCATAGAAAATAAAGTGAATTTTGGATGAAGAAAGGCTTGATAAAAGTAATATATTGCAGTAGGGACAGATGTTTTTGCATCAACTTACTTGCAACTGTAATGTCTTTTCCTTGTCTTCTGGGGTATTAAGAGTGGAAGTGTGACAGTTGTTCAAAACATTTCCTAGTAATTGCCTTCCCTGAGAATATTGTTGGTCCTATAATAAGGATTAAAAAATAAGAATTTTAACCAATTTACATTGAAGGAACCCTAATTTTAAAGAAAATGAGCATTGTTTTTTACTTTGATTATAGTAAAGCGAAACTTCATCCAAGTTCTGCTTGTTTGCCTCCCCCCCCCCCCTCCACTGCCATATTTGGCACTTTGTGGGGGGAAGTGGATACCTGGTTTTGACAGGCATCTGCTTCCACTTTCAATCAGATGCGCTGCATCCATCTGAGATGGAAGTTCAGGCCCTCCCCCCCCTTCTCCTGCAGCCTTCTGGGACACATCACAGGTCCCAGAAGACTGTGGGACCATTCACAAAGTGCAGCACGCTTTGCGCATGTGTAGTAAAGAACCGGCTGTGATGCCACAAGGCTTCACTTCCGGTTTCCCTTACTGAAGATGCTGGCTCCTGCACCCAAAGCTGAATGAAGAATCAGCTCGAGTGATAAGATTGCTGGATCCCTGGAGAGATACTGCAAGTGTCCTTATATTAAAAGTCAGCAGCTACAGTATATGTAGCTGCTGACTTTCAATTTTTTGAGGAGCTTTGAACTACACTTTAAAGTGTTACTAAACCCAGGACCCTGCATTTACTATATCTGCTCTCCCACAGTACACAGCACACGGAAATGCAATTATTTTAGTAAATATAAACTGCAAAATAGCTTTTTTCATCAGCAGTTAGAGAGGTATTGTGACTTCTATTAGTTTCCAGCTGAGCACTGGTTAAAGCCTGTAGGAGGAGTTTTCATTCTCCCCTGATTGTCCTATGAGGCTGCAAGACCCCTGACCCTCTGTCTGGACAGTGCTGAATGCCACTGTGCTGATCACACGCACTCTCTCAAGAGGAAAAAACTTTCTAGCAGATGGATTAGGGACTGCTGAAGAAGGGGAAGATCAGAGAAATCAAGATCAAACAGCCTTTTACTCAATACGGCGGATTAACCCCTTAGGTTCCACAGAGAGTATAACAAGCACACTTTACTGCATGTATTGCATGATTTTACTGTTGTGGGTTTAGTAACACTCTAGGGCTCTAGATTAACCATTTATATATTTTTTAGGTAAATATGAAACATTGCATGTGAATATGTATGTAGCCATATGTATTTATTTTGTACAAGTAGAGTTTTCTTTTAAAGTATATCTAAGGCCAAAACTTTTTTTTTCAGTTTGCTGGGGAAGGAGAAAACCACTGTCTTTCTTTATTTATCTAGATCTGTCTCAGCTAGATTGCATGTCCTGTAGACTCAACAGGATGTCAACAGGATGAGAAAGAGGTTACCTTTCTAATGTGAGGGATATCCACTCTTAGACAGATGTCACTGTGACAAATGTTCCTATTGGAAGCTTTCCCCTCTATTACTGGTTTGGTGGCAACTCAAAATTTTGGATTCACCCTCACTTTCTTTCCCAATGACACTGGCGTTCAGAGCAATTAGTGAGTGCTAATCCCAGCTAAGGACAGAAACAACAATAAAAGCCTGGCAGTGGTTCAAACCCTCCCACTGCTCCATCCAAATCCACAAAAAATTTAGTTACTACACATGTTCACACTGGAAATTTTCATTCACTCATTCATTGAAGAATTTCATGTCATCATATTCGTTATTTTGAACTGATTCGTTTTGTAAGTTCAGCATTCATTTAGTATATTTATTGGAGTTTGCAGTGTTTCCAGAAGATTGCTACATATTCAGTATTGGCTACCATGCACAGCTGCACCATTGCCTTTTCCAGTTTTAGTATATCAACCCCATTGTGTCTGCTGATATAGCCTCTAGGCCCATTTTGAAAACACTGGTTTACTTATTAAATGCTGACTTTTTTGAGGGGCAATCTCCTGAGAATGTGAAGGATATGCTAAGGGATGCGCTAAGTTTGTGCATCAGGTCCTGTACAGTAACAGCCAGTAATGATACAGAAATAGGGTATGTGAGAAACACCGACTTTTATAGTACAGGTGATCGATAGATAGATAGATAGATAGACAGATAGATAGATAGATAGATAGATACTCAGAAAGTGTTGAACTCTGAGAAATAACATAACAGCTAGGCAGCTAACCTATTTAGGAGGAAATCAGCAATGGCAGCCTCATATGCCTCCCCTGCAGGGGTGGACTGACAACTCATGGGGCCCCCAGGCAATAGGGGATCATGGGGCCCCAGTGTCCTTGCCCAAACTCAAAAAAGCTTATGAAAAAGGTACCAGGGGCATCTCATGGGGCACCCTACTGACCCTGGCCCCTCGGGCAGTGCCCGAGTTTCCAAATGGTCAGTCTGCCCCTGCTCCCCTGGCAGGTTTACATTGAATGAATGTTAAAACCCCTCCTGCCAGGAAGCTAATGTTTTCACAAGCATAGACTGATGAGGTTTAAAACTGATCTTCAGGTTTTAGGGAATCTTAAAGAGTTTGGACAGAACTATTTATTTCACTAACAGATGCATTGTCTGTGAAGGCTGTATAAACAGCACTGCACTCTGGGAGCGAATCTGGAACTTCTCATCCTGCTCCTGGAACAAAATTAAGTTGGACGAAGTTGGAGTGCTGCTCAGCCATCTGCAGGGTGCTTTGTATTCTATGAATGAACACAAAGCTTTCTCTGATTGGCTGAGCATTGCTCAGTTTGATTTGATCTTATTTTGAGAGCAGGGTGGGAAGTTCCCATCCTTCTGCTAGAACACCATTCTGTATACTGAAGGTAGCTGAGGCTACACACAGTTTATACAGCGCTCACAGCTGCTGCATCTGTTAGTGAAGTAAATAGTTTGCTTGGACCAGCTTATTATTATTTATTTATTACAGGTACTTATATAACACCATCATTTTATGCAGCGCTTTACATATATATTGTACATTCACATCAGTCCCTAACCCTCAAGGGGCGTACAATCTAAGGTCCCTAACTAACATTCATACATACACATACTAGGGCCAATTTAGATTGGATCCGGTTAACCTACCAGCAGGTCTTTGGAGTGTGGGAGGAAGCCCACGCAGGCACAGGGAGAACATGCAAACTCCAGGCAGGTGGTGCTGTGGTTGGGATTTAAACCAATGACCCTGGTACTGCCAGGCGGAAGTGCTAACCATTTAGCCACTGTGCTGCCCCAAATTAATCTATTTAAATTTCACTAAAACCTGGAGATCAGCTATAAATAAGGCACCTCCTTTACTGAGGATCAATCCAGCCAGGGAACATGTCACCTAACTCGTTACCCTGCAGCTGATGGGAACAGCTAAGAGCCTGGGAAAACTTATTAACCCCAAGCTGGCAGGAGAAACAGGTTTCATACTCAATTCAATGGTTTTACCTATGCATACACTGTAAATCTTTCTGCAAGACTTTGCTGTGATACCATAGTTGTCATATCCCCCATCTCCTGCTTTTAAAGGCATGTCCTTCTAAATCTAATGGAGGCCATAGATGGGTCGAAAATCGGCCGATTTTTCGGCCGAAAATAAAATCGGCCGATTTTCGGATCGTTAGTGGGCTATTTGTTCGGCCGTTTTTCGGTATTTTGGCCGTTTTTTTTTTTTTGGTAAAGTTGGAAAAAAATCGTCTGATTTTCGCGGCAATTAGTGGGCAAATCGGCCGATTTTTTACCGATAAAAAATCTGCGCATGAGCAGTGACCTGCAAGAGGAAGACAAAAAGAAGAAAAAGAAGAAGAGGAAGAGGATGAAGAAGAAGAAGAGGAAGAAGAAGAAGAGGAAGAAGAAGAAGAGGAAGAAGAAGAGGATGAAGAAGAAGAAGAGGATGAGGATGAAGAAGAAGAAGAAGAAGAAGAGGATGCGGATGAGGATGATGAAGAAGAAGAGAGAAGAGGATGAGGATGAGGATGAAGAAGAGGATGAGGATGAAGAAGAAGAGGATGAAGAAGAAGAGGATGAGGATGAAGAAGAAGAAGAAGAAGATGAGGATGAAGAAGAAGAAGAGGATGAGGATGAGGAAGAAGAAGAAGATGAGGATGAAGAAGAAGATGAGGATGAGGATGAAGAAGAAGAAGAAAAAGAGGATGAGGATGAAGAAGAAGAGGATGAGGATAAAGAAGAAGGAGAAGAGGATGAAGAAGAAGAAGAAGAGGATGAGGATGAAGAAGAAGATGAGGAAGTAGAAGAAGAAAAAGAAGAAGAGGATGAGGATGAAGAAGAAGAAGAAGAGGATGAGGATGAAGAAGAAGAAGAAGAGGATGCGGATGAAGAAGTAGTAGAAGAAGAAGAGGATGAGGATGAAGAAGAAGAGGATGAGGATGAAGAAGAAGAGGATGAGGATGATGATGAAGAAGAAGAGGATGAGGATGAAGAATAAGAATAAGAAGAAGAGGATGAGGATGATGATGAAGAAGAAGAGGATGAGGAAGAAGAAGAAGATGAGGATGAAGAAGAAGATGAGGATGAGGATGAAGAAGAAGAAGAAGGAGAAGAAGAAGAGGATGAGGATGAAGAAGAAGAAGAGGATGAAGAAGAAGAGGATGAAGAAGAAGAAGAGGATGAGGATGAAGAAGAAGATGAGGAAGAAGAAGAAGAAGAGGATGAGGATGAAGAAGAAGAAGAAGAAGAGGATGAGGATGATGATGATGAAGAAGAAGAAAAAGAGGATGAGGATGAAGAAGACGAGGATGAAGAAGAAGAGGATGAGGATGAAGAAGAAGAGGATGATGATGATGAAGAATAAGAGGATGAGGATGAAGAAGAGGATGAGGATGATGAAAAAGAAGAGGATGAGGATGAAGAAGAAGAAGTAGGATGAAAATAAGAGGAATTCCAGTCCAGCAAAAAGTGTCCCTGCAGAGAGCTCCGCTAGTTCTTTGACAGTTCTCTGACAGTTCCTTGACATTTACAGTGGTTGCAACATTGTATCTATTTGTTTCCGAATAAAAACATCTGTATCCTAAATGGAAACAAATAAATACATTGGTGCAACCTCTATAAATGTCAAGGAACTGTCAGAGAACTGTCAAAGAAATAGCGGAGCTCTCTGCAGGGACACTTTTTGCCAGCTGTAGACGGGATGAAAATCGTCCGATTTTTTTTTTACCATTGATGGTACCGTCGGCCGCTTGAACGACCGATTTTTCATTTTTTAAAAGAAAAATCTGCCGTTTTTTCGACCCATCTATGGCCTGCATTGGTCTGTGATTGTTTTCCTGGCTTGTATAAGAAATTCTGTTCTTCAAATTGCTAATTAAAATGTATATTTAAAATTGACAGAGACGTTAGAAACCCCAGCTCAGCAGCAGTGCCTCATTAAATTAAGGATTACCAGCTGTGGGATACATGGTAATTATTTAGCCTTCTGAGTTTTAGCATAGATTGAATGGCATGTGGACACAGCAAAGCCATGGTGTGTCAACTGCACGCTAAGGTATTTGTGCTGCTATATTAGTCAGCACAAGACTTGCTGGCTCCACGCTGGGGACACCAGAGCAGATTTAATATCTTTAAAGTGGTTGAAAAGGCTGAAGGTTTTTTACCTTCATGCATTCTATGCATGAAGGTTTTTTACCTTCATGCATTCTATGCATGAAGGTAAAAAACCTTCTGTGTGCCGTTTCCCCCACAGCCTCCCTAGTACTCACCTTAAACCCCTCTCGTTAAGTACAAGATCCTCCCTCTCCTCATTGGCTGAGACAGCAGAAGGAGCTCCCACACCTGTCAATCACAGCCAGTGAGCCAATGAGGAAGGGGTGGGCCCAACCACAGCTCTATGTTCCTTATGGGTGCAGAGAGCCGGGTGTGAGAGCAAGCATGCACCAGTGGCCCTATAGAAAGTAGCTTGCTATTGGGGGCACTGATCAAGGGGGAGCCAGGAGTGCTGGCGGAGGACCTGAGAAGAGGAGAATTAGGGCTTTTTTGTGCAAAAACACTGCACAGAGCAGGTAAGTATGAATTTTTTTTTAAAGCTGAACCTTTAATACAACAAGTCTGGTTGAATACATTTCTGATGTGTCACAATATACAGCAATGGTGTCATTCTTTCCAAAAAGCTGTATGTTTTGTCATTGAGCGTCTGTCAGCTGGCACTACCTAAGCTGAGATGGAATCATCAGTTTGCTGCAAGCAGAGAAAAGCATTTTTTTACTCTGCTCTTCACCATTGATCACATTTCAACACTGATGACCCATTCACAATTCTACGGTGCATTGCAACACAGCTCAACTGACAAATTAATGGACATGTGCCATTTGTGCCGATGCTCCACAGCCCGTGATAACCCATGATATGTGCAACACAATAAATATCATTGCAAAGCTTAGAGCTATGAACTGATGCACTTTACCACAACACATGTGTGAAGGGGCCCTAAAACTCTGTAGCACGTCACAAATTGATAGGCTATAGGAAGTGCTGATCTGTGTCAGACATTAGTGATCTTCACAGGTACCAAGAAATAGAGTAAATTCTGGGCTGGAATCTCAGTCCATGAAGTCGGTGCTGACCCTTAATGCCTGAATAAAGATGTCAATATCCTTCTGATAGGAAAGTATATGATAAAGGAGTATAAAGGAGCTCTGTGATCTCTGCAAGAGGTAATAAATACCTGTATGTGTTACACTTAAACATTACTAATTTACCATGAAAGATATATCTTATACTTGTCCCATGTTAATACAATATCCGTATCCTTAAGATTTAACATTTATAAACATTAACAACTTTTATATCTTCTAAATACTTACAAAGTCTTCAAAGATTTCAGTGGAGAGTGAATGGATATAATGTGACAGTCTGATTGCCCTGTCAAAGAGATCACTGAGTAGAACCTGGCACTGGAGGCTTCCAGGGGTGCAGATTGGATTGGACAAGGCCAGCTTTCTCACCAAAACCAAATCAGAGACTAGAAGTGCAAACAATAACTTTCCTATAGCAAAAATAAACCATAGCTATTGTTAATAATATATTCTTAGATACTGATCCAAAGTTATTTTCCATCTATAATATAATCTGTACTTTGATGTAAGCTTTTAGGTTTTTTTTTTACTGCATTATACAGTAAATGTTAAGGTGAGGGTTGTAGAGGGAAGACCAAGTTCCCTTTTGAGCAGGAACCAATTGGCACAGGGGTGCTCAACCTGTGGCCCTCAGAGCCCTCTGATGTGGGCCCTCGACCCCCTACTGAATGCACAAGTTTTGGTGTGCTTTCAGAAAGTGCACCACACTTGTCAGATATAATAGAAGTCTGTGGCAAAAGCGAAGCTAACCTGCAGGTGCACTGTGCTGAACCCACAGTGTGGGTAAACCGTAGCACATCACTGTGAAAGCAGCATTATAGGGGGCTTAGGACAGTAAGGGCTCATTTACATTTTCAATTTGGGGGCAGTAAAACTCTGCAGTCGAGACATGTTTTTACCACACACCCCTAACCACAGATGAAGTGATGGGCTCATGTGTCCTCCCTGTCACATTCTATTTTACACTTGGACAGAAAGAGCGGAGGGGGCTGCATATACAGGAACCAATCTTCTCCATTTTGCTCCCGCAACCTCTGAAAGCCAGCTTCTTCTTCTCTCTTCCTTGCCGGCATTCATCAGCTGCAGGAGGAAAATGGTCATTATGCTATTAAAAAAAAAATAATCTAAATTCTGAATCATTTCATTGTGGCCCACGACCAGTTACCAAATTACTTAAGTGGCCCTAGCATTTCAACAGCTTGAGCACCCATGAAATAGCAGATGCAACTGCTGTGGCACCTGTTCTCTCACTATTGGATTGGGGAAAGATGTATCTTGTCCTTACAAACTCACCATGGATTGTTGCCATCTTGTATTTAAAAAAGGGAAAACCACTTTTAAAATAGAACCATTAATCAACTTCTATAGAAGAACCTATATCATTAAACATTTTATTAAATGATATCTGAGATGACATGGTTTGGGAGGAAATCTTTTCCTGTACACAGATGAGTTCCTGTCCAGTATTGCCATGGGAAAATTATGCCAACTGCTACTTGTAAGCCTCCTGTACAATATATAGCAACATAAAACAAGAAGCTGCAAACTGAAGGTAAATACTGTATGATATTTAATAGCTCTTCCTCTGTACAATTTTTGGTATTGTCAGGAAGATCAGTCCATCCAAAGTTAATATTTTGTTTACAGAAGTAAAATGGGTAGGCCTGGACACCCTCTACCTTTTTATATCTGCTGAGAACTCCATAGGGAAGTATTCCTTGTTACAGTTCCTGGCTGTTTTCTTTCCTCCTGGAGTCTTATTCCAGAGACAGGTGATCCCAGATGTCACCATGTCTTTTGATACCTTCTTCAAAACATAGTAATAACGGATCTAATCTACGAGGGGTCTTCAAAATGTTTCTGCACTTTTATATATTATATAGAGTTTAAAAAAAAGGCAGAAACTTTCTGAATAACCCTCGTAATAATCTGTCTAATGGCAGAGTGGAAATCTCACATAGGTATAGTGGCAAAGCACAGAAATATCACTAACGGAATACGTGAGAAATATTAAAGACGTTTGGATAGTTTAAAGTAAAACTACAGCAAAATAAATAAATACATAAATAAATTCAAATAAATGATACAGTGGTGGGGGGTTAGAACTGCTGTCAGGTACTCATTGCTGTTGGACATGAAATCAGAAAAACAAGCGTTCGGAGAAGTTTCAACTTTGACAGTTCTGGATTTTTCCCTCACTTTATGTATTATTGACCCATAGTCCTGGGGCATATAAGGTAGATCTTCCGATGGTGGACTGCAATCAATACCTGGCAGGTGTTCTAACCCTTCCTAACCCCTAAAACTGTGCGGTGTGACCCTATATAGCTGTCCCCCTAATATTGTATCTCTTGGTGCAATACCAGATTTGAGTGACACATGGCATTGTGAGGGTCATCTATATCTGCAGATCTCTGTTCTATGAAAACCAATAAAAACCTACATTTCAGTGTAAGGGGGATACAAGTGGAGATTTGGGTTTTAAAAGAAATCAACACTGTCTTGGTTTTTATGACAAAAACATAGCAGTAGTGAGAAAGCAATATATCTCTGTAAAATATGCTCATACCTGTAAATGAAGTTTTTCTTGAGGCAATCATGGTTGGGTTGACTTTCTATCTTGTTTTAAAATATCAGCTTAATATCAGCATTTTGACAGAAGTAGTTTATATACATTCTATTGGCTCCTCCTCCCTTCTGGGTCATTTGATTTCATCACTGTGCTAATCAGAAACATGGAACCTTTGCCTTCCCTACATTCATATTTAGGAGCTTCACCACGCTGGATCAACTGTGTTTTAATTCACTTGCTTCTAAGCTTAAGGGATTTGTACAACTGTATGACTTTAATTACCTAACATTTCATCATTTACATATTATGTATACTCTGAGGTTTTAATTCAAATGTAAAATTGAAAAGGGTCAAATTAGAATTTGGAGCAAATCAGGTTTTAAAGGATAATTACACTTTTAATAAAAAAAAGTATACATAACAAATACAGCACATACAATTACTACACAAGCCATATTTAAATTTAATGTTATTAAAAAAAAAACTTTCCTTTTCAATCTCAAGCTGCTGTAATTTTCTGTAACAGTCAATGCAACATGGTAACCTGGAGGATTTCTGTACACACCCCATAAATGACATATCCTGCTTGTGTGATTGGCTCAATGATTTTCCCACAAATCTGCACTAAGATACAAGTCAAAATTTTCGGCACCCCTTGGAATGGGAATGTTAGTTTTGGTGAGATACTGTACAAGGGTTAAATACTTCTAGATGGATGCAGACACTGCCAATTTTCTCATCAGAGCACTAAGAGTGCACCAAGTGATTATATATAAACACTCACCAGCCATTTTATTAGGTACACCTGTTCAATTGCTTGGTAACACAAATTGCTAATCAGCCAATCACATGGCAGCAACTCAATGCAATTAGGCATCTAGACGTGGTGACTATGACTTGTTAAAGTTCAAACGGAGCATCAAAATGAGGAAGAAAGGGGGTTTAAGTGACTTTGAATGTGGCATGGTTGTTGGTGCCAGATTGGCTGCTCTGAGTATTATAAAAAACTGCTGATTTACAGGGATGTTCATGCAAAATCATCAATCATGTTTGGAACAACCTACCTGCTGAGTTCTTTTGAAAATTGTGTGGTTGTCTATCTATAAGAATTGAAGAATTGATGCTGTTTTGAAGGCAAAGGTTGGTGACACCAAACAATGATTTGATTTGGATTTCTCTTCTGTCCGTTTACTTTCTATTTTGTTAACTGATACAAATTGTTAAACTATTAAAACATATTTATATCTCAGACCCTACCATTTAGAGTCAGTCTGCAAAAGTGCAAAGTATAAAGTGAAACAAATTGTTCTTTTTAGTGGAAAAAAGTAGAACTCTGCAACAATGTTTGTTAAAATCCTTGCAATGTACATTGATCTCTCAAAGGGAATTGTTTTTTTTTTTTCTCTCAACAAAAGTGGAGTAACACTTTAACCACTTGCCGTCCAGAGGATTTACCCCCATTCCTGACCAGGCCATTTTTTGCGATACGGAGCTGTGTTACTTTAACTGATAATTCTGCATCCATGCAACACTGTACATAAATGAAATGTATGTTCCTTTTTTCCCACAAATAGCTTTCTTTTGGTGGTATTTGATCACCTCTGAGGTTTTTATTTCTTGCGCTATAAACAAAAAAAGACCGACAATTTTGAAAAAAAAAACAATATTTTTTACTTTTTGCTGTAAAACATATCCAGTAAAATTTTTTTTAAAAATTTAAATTTCCTGACAGCTCCATTTCAGCACAGCTGGATAAGGGCCCCGCCCCACCCATGCTTCGAGGACCTAACTCATAAATTTGAGCCCACCTGCAGCCTCAGTATTCCTCTCTTTTTTCTCCCATGTGCAGGACCTAGGCATGCTCCTCTACCTGGCTGGTTATCCATCCAGGTATGTGGGTTTCAGCTGGACGGGGTCCCTGGTGTACCAGCTAAATGACCCATAATCCAGTGAGGCAAGCTGCTGGTCCTTGGGGCAGCTTTAATCATGGCTAACAGCCTTGTCTAGGGTCTGCTGGGTCCATGTGAAGCGGTTTCAGCAGAGTATCCTCTAGGCACACACACTCGTGCAGTGTTCACAGTCAGATGGTGGAGGTTGGGTGAGCCTAATGTAAAAATACTTTGTATGCAAATGAATGCTGCATTGATGACTATTGTTGTGCATACCCTGAGCTCCTCCACAGATCGTACTCTCCATAACAGCTGCACAAAGTAATACTTTGTCTGTTCACACATGGCATTACCTGTTGGTGGCTTCTCATGTTTGCTTTTCTATTGTGCCATTATGCCAACCCCCCTCAAAAGACCAGCATTCACAGAAAAGGTAGAGGAGTCGCCTGTGGATGACAACTGTAGCCAGCATTGCCTGTTGGAGTATAGGACATCCCTTTTAATATCTGTTTGTGGTCTCCAGTTTCTCAAAATAAAATAAAAGGTCTTTATGATGCCAACAATTCTCTTGGATGGTTTGTGTACATTGCAGAATATTATTGTAATTCTGATGCAGTTTCCTACATTTTTGTTGCTTTTCTTAATGTCCTATTCTCTGACAAGGCAAGGTGTGATTCATTAACCACCTGGTGCCTTCAGGGCTATGTTTTTAAGCTGAAGTATCTGCAATCCTCTAGCAGCAGTTAACCCTTTAGGTTTTTTTTTACTAGGCAAGCTATTTTTTTACCTCATTTAATTTAATTTTTTTTTTAGCTGCTTTAAGCAGTAGGCAAAACTCTGTGAAAGGATTATCTAGTCTGCCAATAAGCAGTTTCAGAGCTATCCCAAGCAAAACAATCCTCTTCAGACTTTTCAAAAAAGACACAGATGAACATGAATGTAAG